TTGCCATTTCCCTTGTATTTTGGTCCTGCTCATTTGCTCATGTTGAGCCATATCACTGCACACAGAGTTAAAGTGGTTGCTTGTTTGCATTGTTTTTCCGGAGCTTCCACAGGTGCACTTGGGATTATTTGTGGCTGTTTCTGGGGAATATAGTAAGTGGGGAAGAGCCATAGCTTATGAATAGAGCACAGGCCTTTCTTGATGTGTCTGGTGAAAATGCCTGAGGAGCTACTGACTGCACATTAAAAGGAGTGATGCTGAGCCGCTTTTTGTGCCCAAGGGCTGGATTCAGTTTTGGAAATGATCCTGGGACCCTGTTCTGGTGGAGGGTGGTGCTGAAGGCAAAGGGGCCGGTACCAAAATACCGGCAGATAATGCCTTCTAGCTCTTAACTGGGAGTAACTAAGCCTAGGAGAGGCGTTTCAACCCTCTTGGAGGCAGAAAAGTCAGCACAAGAACCAAGAAATGACCAAACTATGAGGAGCTGGGAAAAACACAGAAACAGTGCAAAACCAGATTAACTCTGTTCCAAACTCCACAAGTAAAGCAAAGCAGCAACCACAAGCCTGAAGGAGAGAACGACAGAGAAGAACCCAAACTGAGTCATTGTGAAAATCTTTCTTCTGGTTATTGTGATGTCGTACAGAAGATTGATACCTGGAAGAGCCAATATACAGCATAAATGTGTTGTTTAGGGTTGCTTAGAAAAGGAATCATTTTGGGATGTGTAACACTGCATAACTGTGAAAGTTTGTCTTGGGCAATAAATGTATCTGTTCCTGATGGTACATATGGCGATTGTGACAAATTCATTCCTTTACCTAAGACAGTAATTCAGAATACCAGGATTAATGAAGAGCCTGGAAGGATAAAAGGCAGATTCTGGAAGGAAGAACAGCCATCTTTTTATGGCTCTGTGCCAGGAAAGAGCCAGAACATTATACTTCACATCTGTTAAGCATTTTCTTTATCCTGATTCTTATTTTACTCCTAAGAGCCAAAAGCCTTCCAATTACAACACTGCGATATTGTGGTGCAGACGTGAGAGCCTGGTGCAAATCCGGTTTGAGTGGTAAATTCATTGGGTAGCCTTAAGCAAAATCCGTGTCTTTCTGATTCCGTTTCTTCCATCTGGAACATTAGGATAAGAACAGCTTGCTGCTTTAAGGTTTCATGTGCACGAATAAAGATTGTAAAATGTTTCTAGGGGAAAGCGCTATAATCAGCCCTGTCCAGATCGCGGCCATATGCTCGAAGGTCGACTTACCACCAGATAGCGAATCAGGGGGCTGATTGTGTTGCTAGCAGATCAACTGCCCCAACTGCTGTTCGCCTGTGTGCCGACCTGGATCGGGGCCAAGCTGCCAATGTGTGTGTTGAAGCAAAGAAAGGGAAGACCGTGTCCCTCTGGTAGGTAGTGCAAACAACGCCAACAGAGTGTAGGTTTCTTGAAGGATTATTTTACCCTCCAATTGCCAATGAAATGAGACAGCAGGGAGAAAGAACAGACTGCCCAAAGCAGATAAACAAAACTGAAAGGAAAACAGTTGGTCTGAAAGGCAAGTAACTGGTTGCACTGGCTCTGAATATTCTGGAAACAAATGAAAACATGTCTAGGTGAAGGAAGCCCCCTTCTAAGCACTTAAAAGGAATGGGCACATTAATCTGAACTGCCTCCCAGTAAAAGGCCTGACAGACTCACATACACAACAGAGAGACGGCAAGCCCTAAGAGGCAACTATTTGCTAAAATAAAATGAATTCCAGAGCAGAGAATTTAGGTTACTCTTAAGGTTTAATGACTTCAGGAACCGGGAGGTCACTCACATCTCTTCTGAAAAGGAACACGCAACCCCTCCTATTCCGGTATTAACTAACCCTTAACCTCATTAGCCCTTTGCCCTAAAACAAAACATGCTATTCATCAACCATTTGCTCTACCCATGGTACATCGTGTTTGTTTTAATACCTGGAATTTGTAATCTATTCAGGTTTTCCTTATTTTTAGAGGGCGTTAAAAAGTAAGGCTGCAAACTAAGTATATTTAGTTTGAACCACATCTTACTGAAATCAATCAATAAGCTTACCTAGGCTCAGGCTAGATGATTCACTGCTATCAGAATGTATTCTATCCACTAAGGAAAGTGTTCCTATTTCATTTTAATAATATATTCTGCCAGAATACTCTGTAAGTTTAAAGTGTAGCAGAGTGGTGGAGTTTTCTTCATAGGTCTCATGGCTTTTTAAGTTATTTTATTGGATTGGACAATACTTTATTCCTCTTCTTTAACAGAAGAAAACTCCCTGAATTTTTGGAGAAAAAATAGAGAAAGACAGACAGAGGATGGATAAAAGTGCAGCACTGAAAATGTGTTCTCTTTTTTTGATCATTATAAACTAATGTGATGGAATATAATTGCTTTTCTAAATGAGAAGATATTTCAGATAAATTCTCATACTTTTGCTTCAGAATTCCTGTGCTTACCTTACTTACAAGGTGGCCAAGAAATGTGCAGGAGAGCAGCGACACTCATCCCTCCATCTCCCTAACGCCATCTTGGTTCCCCACACTTCAACTAAAGCCCAAGGGATGTCATGGTGGGGTAATTCTCCCCCCGCACACGTGGCCTTTTCAGATCAGGGAGTGCAGGCAGAGCAATTGAAAGAAAAGGAACAGAAGGAAACCCACAACCATAGTGCCATTGACCGCCTCACAGTGATCTAGGGAAGGTCAAAAACACCATCAAAAGAATTTCAAAATAAATTATAAAATGCCCCTGAATGAGATAGAAAAGTAGAGGCCTCTGTCATGGGAGGGAGAAGCAAAATGTTCAGGAAATTGAAGTTTAGATTTCAGCATAATACTTGTTCCACCTCTTCTCTGGAACTGGACCCAACACTGCACCCCATAGGGACAAAATGTCTCTCCAGTCACCACTCAGAAATTTAGCATTTGGAAGAGCATGGAAAGGTGCTGAATTCTTCAGAATGACAACTAGAGCTGAGCCAAAACTTCTCAAAAGATATTTTTCCCAGAAAAGAAATAGAAGGCCCCTCGAAATAAAAGGCCACTTTGGACATTTGAGATTTTCATGTCCCGGCAACTCAATTGGGGTAAATCATCACAATGAATCCCTGAAGTGTCAAGTGGCCAGGATGAGCCAAGTGATGACCCGGCTCCTCCTGGTTGCTCTCTTCTCCCCTCCCACCCCGCCACTGCTCACCGCTCACCTTCCCTCTCATTCCTCCAGTATCCCAGGAGAGAAGTGAGACACCTCTCTATGATCACAACCCAAGTTTAGCCCACCTTGGCTGTCAAATAGGGCTCATGCCCTGAAGCACAGCCAAGAGAATAGGAGAGCTGATCAGGAGACCTCTGGAGCAGAGAGGGTACCTGATCACTCTCAGGAATGGAGGGGGGAATCAGCTTGGCAGCAGTGCAGAAAGGAAAGCTCTCAGGTGCGGGCAGGGGTGGGCAATCAATTGGACCTCACTTCCCTAGCCCGGGACCGCTCAGCTGTGAGCGGTTCTCTTTGGCTAGCCACTTGGCAGGGGTGGCAACTGCCAGTCTCCACAAGCAGCTGCCTTGTTTTGGGCTTTCTACCATGATGGGTTGTACTGGTCAGGTCTGGATGCCACAAGAAGTATTTGTTGAGCAGACCATTGTACCTTACTATGGTTGTCAACCATGATAAATTGCAATGACTGATCATGACAGAGTTCACACAGCATGGCAAATGGGACAGTCGTTGTGGAGAGTTTCTGCTGTCCCTGAAGAATCTGGTGAAATTGTCCCTCCAGTTTCTCTGCTCACAAATAGGGTGAAGTATTTTGAGAGGCTATCACACACCACTCTAAGACAGATGGACAGGCACTTGTTTATTTGGGCTGGGAATGACTAGAAAAAAGCTAATGTGAAAGATGCAGTTGATGACCACCTTGATGGTCTGCCAAAAACACCTGTTGGAGGGAAATATCCCTAAATGCCTTTACTTGAAAAGTACATAAAACCAAAGTTGGATATAGATTGGCCTGCATGTGCTTTGCTTTTACGTGCTCAGAATGTGGGACCGCAGAGGAATAGCACTTCATGAATGGGCCCAGCACATCGCAGGCCAGTCTTGCCACCATGTGCAGGATTCGTCACAGTGGCTTGCTTTGGAAAGGGATGCTGAAAGCTGAATAACAGGGGATGTGCCCACCTGGCTTGCAGTGGGAGACAGCTGGCACACACAGACTTCTCCAGCAGCTACCATGTGCCTCAAGTCTTGAATACTGCCGGCCAAAGAGCTTTGCAAATGCAACCTAAGTGTTCATACAGTTCTGCTGAGATGGCATTCAGAACATCTGTACCGTTCAAGTTTTCTCCTTTCTGATAGGTTCTAATTCATCCATACTGGTGATTATTTTGAAGTGGCAGCAACTAGCTAACAGTGGATAACCTTCTTATCCAAGTGGCCCATTTCCCTGCCTTTTCATAGATATATGTTTGCCTGTGAGACTGATTCTAATGTAATGTAGAAATATGTCTCATACCTTCATAGGTGCAGCTAATAAATACTAATTAGCCAAAAGCAAAGGAGTAATACAAAGCATAAGAATCCTCTTGGGAGCTATTAAGACAGGATGCAGAGTTTTACACTGCGCAGGCTTTCTCTGCAGCAGGTACAGCAACAGAATGACTGGATGTCAGGACATGGCAAACTACAGACTGGAACAAATTCACATAGAAGCAAATTCAGTACGCAAGACTACTTACTTGTGAATAGACTCTGTTGTGCCACTGCTGTGCACCAGGAAAATGCGCCTCTGGAAAATTGGCCAGCCAGGTTTGCAAAAAGGCAGAGGTTTTTGCTAAGGACTTTACATCTAGTTGAAGGAATTTATCCGGATGGTTGTTGTTTGGCAATACGGAAAGATCCATCTTTCCCGGATATCTTAAAGAAAGCCAGTTGCTGCACAACAGAGCAACTTCCCTCTTCTTGTATAATTAATGCAGTGAGCAAGGATATTGCCTTTCTCTTATGTGAAACTGCAGTTGATCCTGTTTAATGTCAGGCAGGCTCATTTCCCATTGTCTGCACATGAAAAGGATTAACTCTGTTCTTCCCCTTAAAGGGTTGGTTTGTGTTTTCAAAAGCAAGTTTGAATTGCAAGGACAACTATAAATGTACCCATTAAATGTGACTTGTCAATAACTGCCTGCCTGTGTCTTTGAATGCAGAGCAGCAGCAGCAAAAGTGGCATTACAAAGGAGGTTGTTTTAAGACAATTTAAAAGCATTAAATTTGATCAATGAATATGAAAGGAAGCAGGCATAAAAATGTCACTGTGATTTGCAATGTGACATTCAGTTTTTGGCTTGTTTTTACTTCTAATTCTATTGCTAATGCAGTATTTTGTGTGTCCACTGAAAATAGTCTTATCTGATATGATAAATAGGTTCACCCTGGCATTCCCACATCTGAGCTAAAGGAATCTCGAGGGACAGTTCTTTATGTGGGGTGGAGCATGCAAAGTCACCGCAAATAAAAGGAGAGGGCTCATAGGCCAATTAACCACTTGAATAGGACTTTTCTGTCTGGATCAGGCCTGGGGTTGCCAGGTTGAGCATGGAATGAAACAGTGTGGCTTCAGTCTTTATCACACAATCTGTTTGGAAGTACCACTGAATGCAGCAGGATTTCCCCACCCCCTAGTAAATGGGTACATGATTACACTGCTGTGACTTTGCTTGGAGTTGTAGGCCTTCCTTTCTGTCTAAGCTTGGACGGGATTGCACCCTTTGGGGACCTTTCTGGGTGCTTTTGGTAGATTCCTGAAAGTATTTTCAGTTGGCAAGTCACTATTCCTCTTCCATGGGTTTTCCTGAATATTCCACAGATGGTTGCATTGGTGTCACAACTACTCTCAAAACTCAGAAAGCATTTCCAGACAGATGTCTCCTGGTACACATCAGTCATTGCTGATATAGGCTATAAGCAGATTTGCAACCAACTTTCTTCTGACACTGGTTTCCTTAGTGCTACTGTTCTGCCTATTTAGGGGTCATAGTTTCGACATGTGTACTGAGCCACTGGATCTGGCATAGCTCAGCACACATTCTATATTGTCTGCTGCGGGTCCTTTCTATCTCTTTAATTAATATTTTAAAGGAATGCCAGAACACTTCAATGGCTCTACATGTATAGTTTTAGAGCATACGGTTGGGGCAGTGGTGTTGGGATGAGATGGGATGGAAACCTTTCCATTTCACCATGGTGATTAATGGGCGGAGTGACCAGATATTTGTTTAATCATAACAAGTATCAAAGGTACAACCAAGAATCCAGAAATGGAAGGGACAATTTAGGCCATTGAAAACAGCCCAAGGCTTGGTGCAGGGACTCATTTTAAGGCATTCAGAGATGGCGGTTTTGTCCCCCATTTGAATGCCCTGCTTGAAAGCAACACGGAGCCCACTGCCTCACTCAGAAACTGGTTTCACTATGTGATGCTCCAATGTCCTTTTTTCTGATGTTCCACCAAAATCTGTCTTTTTTATTTTTATGTCCTGCAGTTTGGATGAGAGAGACTAGGTTCTGGTTCTCTTCTGTATGACAACCTGTTAGTTGCTTGAAAAGTGCAATCATGTTCCTTCAAGTATAAATATATCCAACATTCTTGGTTTCTGCTGCATAACTGGAAGAATTCCTCATTAACAGAAATGTTACAAGCAAATAAAATTAAATCAATGAGCAACTGTTCTACTGTGGGAGAAAACAAAATGAAAGTGGTTCTTTTATTATGTAAAAAGCTGACAATTCAGGTCCTATACTACTTTTTAAATTAATCGAGCATGTTGATGGTTTTATAGGATCTAAGAAAATGAAGCTACCCTAAATTCAATGGCATAAGAGGTTCTGCAGGCAGGTGTACTTCTCGGTACCTCTATGAAAAATGAACAGGGCTGGAAATTGCAAGGATCTTGGATAGACACCGCAAGTCAGAATAATACCAGGCCAGTAGTAATCTTACTACCAATCTTAGTAAATGCCAATTATTATTACATTCTAAATATCTTGTTTTCTCCATTCTGTTTCTATTGTCAATAGAAAAGCACCAACACAAGAATACAGGAAAAAGAGTTTATATATAATATATATATTTATTGAAGATGTAAAAATCAAGTGACTCATGTACAATATTTTCTCACAAGGAAAATGTTTTGTTCACGTTTCACATAACTGTAAAACTGTATCTTTATAAAGATCTTTAAAAAAAACAAAGAAGCAATTTACTACAAAATTATCTTCTAAAACTTTTTTAAACCTGAAAATTTAGCCCAATTCATGGTGAGCATTTGGTTTCTCCTCACTGGTCAAGCTCCAAGAGGATACACATGAGCACAGAGAGCTAGGCATGGAAATACTTAATAGCAAATGCCATGTTCAAACAGTACAGACTTCTTTCGTAGGATGTTACAAGCTCTAGAACGGTGTTTCTCTACACTACATCAAACAGTGCAACAGAGATTCAGTGTAAATCTTTACAGTGTTTAATTGATTCAATACTTGTGTTCAAGTATATGTTCATGCACATGATTAAAATCCCTACTTTGCCATTTTGTTCCATTTTTTGTTCATAAAAGTTTATAAGTTACAGTAGATCATTTCCTACAGTATGTTTCTAAGGGCATGAAGAAATCCTACAAACATGAGGTGTCCCAACCATCTCCAGGGTGCATTCATACAGAGAACATGGACTAAGTCACAATCTGTTTATACAGACTGGCCACAGCTTTCAGAATGGATCCCCATGATTACATTGGCTGAAAAATGTGCTGCATGGTTATGAAAATGGATCCTGGGAAGCTGAGGCTATGTCCAGAGATGTTCTAGGTCAAATGTTACATTTGCCATGCAAATGCACCCATGGGAACAGTTCTGAATGTCTGCTACAGCCCTTAGTAAGATAAGAATTGATTTCCCAATACATTCTGTAATATCACTTGTTCAATGTTGTTAGCTTAACTCACCCCAAAACCTGTTGCAAAAATATCTGAAGTCAATCTGACTCTGAGCACCAAAAAATCACAATAAAACAAAGTGGACTTCACTTCTGTATACAGCAAAACTATTCATCTAAATAAAAATTAAATTCAGGGTAACATGATGGCTTTTCATCTGGCACAATGCAGTGGGCAGTTAAGTGTATTTAATTCCCATTAACTTCAAGTGATCAGGACTACAAACTTAACCATGTACAGTATTGTGCTAATTATTTCTCATTTGGGGCTTGGGGGTAGGAGAGAAACAGATTACCCTAATGCATATAAACATTTAAAATAGTAATTTTTAAAAAATTCTGATAAATGTATCCAAAATAATTCATATAAAAATTAACCATGGAAACTCTGAGAATTCCCCCCACCCCCAAAAAAGCTATTTAACCAAAATAAAACATGTATTGGCAGGCAAAAATAAATTAATTTGATTAAATTATATGTAATCTGATAATATTTGGTCTGAAGAAGCGTGCTTGTGTGTGAGTTTATAAATAATGTGACTGCAAATTGCTGAAAGCCAGCCCGCCAGCCAGCCCGCCTGCCTGCCAGGGGTCAACTCTTCTGTTGCATCTTCTGCGCGTAAAAGTCCCTGCATGTCTCACAGCAACGCTGATACCATCTCATGTCCTGGCAGAGGTTCTTCTCTCGTATCACTCTGCAGTATACCGGCCACTGGTCTCCCAGGCACTTGAATGTTAAGGCAGCTGCAAAATGATGCGAAACCAATCAGTGATACCAGCACATGTGCATACCTGGGTGTTTTAAAGGCCCCTAACTGCATTTCCGGGGTGTAAAAACTGATGTTCATCCATACGGATGTATGGTATGAAAGTCTCTCATCACTTGTACATTTAAGGCACATTCAGTTTAGGAATTAGAGACATCAAACGGCGTTCTGGCACTTAGAAACAACCCTAAGCAGCTTACTAGGAAATACGAACTATTAAACAGAAGGGGAGTATCTATCCATTGGATTTCAATGTAACCAATTTATTGTGGCATGACCTTTAGCTTTAGGTAAGAACTCTGGAAAATTTAGACAAGATGCATTCCAGAGAAGTGGAATCATTATATTTGAAAAAGTAGCCCATGTTTAATTAAAACATAAAACATACAATTAATCTCCCTCCACGGCCCCGGAAAGTGCAGACTCTACCTCCTTCCCATGTAACTTTCAAGAACTCAAATAGTGGGCATAGATAGAGTTATATCAAGTCTATGGACTGGTTGCGTGAAATGGATCTGAAATACAGACCTAACATTTTTCTCCCAAGGAAAGAAATGAGGTATAAAGAAGCCAGTGGTCATACGTATTTGGTCCTGGAAAAGTTAAGAGAAAACACCACACAACGCATGCAAACAGGCCAAGAAGGGGAATATTGCTACATGAAACCACAATCACCTACCTAACCTAGGCGATGTGATTGTGTTCACATTAATCTTTTCGTTGCAGGGCTGCAGGTGGCAAGGTCTGTAGGCGGCAGGCTTTTCAGAGGAGAAGCACTCATTGCCATGCCGTCCTGTGATCTTGTGCATGCACTGGATGACTCGGGACTGCATGCCTTTGCCGCAGGTGATGGAGCACTGCAAAGAATATGGGAGAGACAGTTATGAAAAATGCTGCTCACCCACAATCCCAGAGTTTATTCAACCTAGGTTTTATGAACTTTTACATAAATGTTACTCCACTAGTTTTAAACCAATCAGAAAATAATGCAAGGCATAATGTTGAGCGGTACTATTAAATTAGATTTATACCACTTATTCCATCTCCAGTATGCCTATGACTAAAAGGACGAATATAGCACTTCAACACCCAGCTGGAATGAAACTGTGGGCTATGGAAGAAAAGCTCTAAAAGCTTCCTATCCGTTTTC